TTCCCTTCTCTGAGTGTCAGTTTTCTCATCTCCAAAATCAAGATGATGATGGTATTGTAACCCCTGCACTGGGGGTTGCTGGGAACATGCAGTAAGGGCAGGCCTAGCTGCAGGTGTGGGCCCTTGTCCACACCGTGCGAGCTCTGCTGGCCTCCCTCCACGTGCCTTCAGGGAGCAGAAGCAGATGGGAAGGCCTGGCAGGTCCCAGCCAGGGAGCTGGCTGACTTCTAAGTGAACAAGTGCAGGGAAGGAAGCATCAAAGGCTAGGACTGAAGAAAATCAATGTGCATAAAAGAGTGATGGGGATGAAGGAGTTAGCCTGGGGAGCCAAAGGGGTGGTTCCAGACTGGTTGTTGGTGTGGGGGCCTTGCCAGAGAGCCTCCCCTCTGGGGCTTCCAGGGAGACAAATCTGAGCCTTCCTCATAAGTACTTCATGACGGAGGGCAAGTTGCTCAACTGCTCCTTGGTTTTCTCATGTATAATGGGAGATGGTGAACCCTTTCTTTCAGTATGGTTGTTGAGGGCGTTTGTGGGAGAGATGACGCAAAGCCGTTAGTTCAGGGCTTGGCCTGGGATAAGCACTCAGTGTGGGTGGAGTGATATTGTGACTGGCTGGGGCCTCTCACCCTGGGATAGCTTTTCAGGAGGGAGGCAGGACTTGGCCAGGCTGGCTGTGCAGAGCCCTCCCTCGACCAGTAGGGTGTTCTGGTCTACTCTTGGACTGTCTACTCCCCTCTCCGCTGCACCTGACCCCCAACCCCACATGCTGTAAGAGGACAGACACCCTGTGATAGTCCGTGGTTCAGCATTGTTAGCAAGGAAGATTTCTCCAGAAACTGGGCTGCAAGCCGGGTTTGCAGAGTGCTTCCTGCCTGTTTTTGCTGTTGGGGTCTCCAGGCAGGGCCAAGTGAGGGTCCTGGACTCGTGGTGGCAGCTGGGCACTCCACACAGGACTGTTTGGGCCCTGGCACCACAGTCAACACAAGGCCCTGCTTCTGGGAAGCTGCTGAGGTAAGGTGAGGTGGACTCTGTGCCCATCCTTGACCCTCTCAGTCTCCCCGCTGTGGAGTGGGGAGAACAAGGGTACTCAGTGCCTGGATTGTGCTGCCTCAGGGAACCCATCGCCAGCCAGGTGAGGTGGGCATCACAGTTCCCTGTCAGAGCCTTGTGGTCGGCTCTCTTTGATGGTAGGTAGGCATCCACCAGAGATTTGTTTAAAGAAATTAGGTACTTTCTCATTAAAAAAAAAAAAAAAAAGCAAGCTGGATGTCTTTGTCTTTTGAAAAACTGGATGATTTAGCCTCCCTGGGTAGCAATCAGTTGGTCTGAACAGTGGCTTCCTTCTTGAGATAGGCCTGTGCTTTCTTTAAAAAAAATTTTTTTTCATTAAAATCTTTACCAGAGGATATTTTTTCCATTGATTTTATTTATTTACTTTTTTTAAGAGAGAGTGAAAGAGGGGGTGTGGGAGAAGAGAGACATTGATGTGAGAGAGGCACATTGACTGGTTGCCGGGATGGAACCTGCAACCGAGGTACATGCCCTTGATCGGGAACCGAACCCTTGACCCTTGAGTCTGAGGGCAGACCCTCTAACCACTGCGTCAAACCAGCCAGGGCCAAGCCTGGTGTTTTCTGGCCTGCCCACCTGGTTCCTGCACCTGCTGGTCTCCTAAGCATGACAGTATGCCTCCCCTGCTCTTGTTCAGCTCCCTTAACTGTACAAACAGGAAATTGGAAGTTTGGGCAGGAAGGGCCTTGCCCTGGGACCCCCACAGGGTTGGTCTACCCCCTTAGGCCCCCCTCCCCCACTAACTGCTGCCTCCTCCCCATGCAGGCGTGCTGATGTATCGGGACTTCCCCCTGGAACAGTTCATGAACCAGTGCTACGGCAACGTGAACGACCTGGGTAAGGGGCGCCAGATGCCCGTCCACTATGGCTGCAAGGAACGTCACTTCGTCACCATCTCCTCTCCACTGGCCACACAGATTCCTCAGGGTGAGAATGCGTGTGCGTGTGCGTGTGAGGGCGATGAGTATTCATGGTGCTCTGCTCCTGCTTACCACCCTCTCACTGCCTGCAGCGGTGGGAGCAGCCTACGCAGCCAAGCGGGCCAATGCCAACAGGATTGTTATCTGTTACTTCGGTGAGGGGGCAGCCAGTGAGGGGGATGCCCATGCCGGCTTCAACTTCGCCGCCACCCTTGAGTGCCCCATCATCTTCTTCTGCCGGAACAATGGCTATGCCATTTCCACACCCACCTCTGAGCAGTACCGCGGCGATGGCATCGGTATGGACCTGTGTCATCTCCTCTCTCCCCTCCTGTTCCTTCCTGTGGTGTCGGCACAGGGAGGTCGCAGGAGACAGTGAATGGAGCGCTGCTCTGTTGGCTCTCCTCCCCTTTCCTTCCCTGCTCATTGTCCTCATCAGAGCCATGGGGTTTGAGCTGCCTCTCTCTGTTCCCACAGCGGCTCGAGGCCCCGGGTACGGCATCTTGTCAATCCGTGTGGATGGCAATGACGTGTTCGCCGTGTATAATGCCACCAAGGAGGCCCGGCGGCGGGCCGTGGCAGAGAACCAGCCCTTCCTCATTGAAGCCATGACCTATAGGTGCCTGCCTCCCCCATTCCCATCAGCCTTGACAGCCACCATCTTTACCATCTTCCCCACATCGATCACTGGGGTCTCCAAAGCCTGACCCTATCACCCCAAGTTGTATCCCCTTCCTTGCCTTGAGCAGGATTGGGCACCACAGCACCAGTGATGACAGCTCGGCATACCGCTCGGTGGACGAGGTCAATTACTGGGACAAGCAGGACCACCCCATCTCCCGGCTGAGGCACTACATGCAGAGCCGTGGCTGGTGGGACGACGAGCAGGAGAAGGCCTGGAGGAAGCAGTCCCGCAAGAAGGTGAGGGGCTCCCTCTGTTGGAAACTGAAGTCCCAGGGGGTGTCTGGAGGTGGTGCATCATGGAGAACCCTGGAAGGTTGGAGGCTGGGATTTGGGGGACATTGAACTGGGAGACTCAGGGATCACCCCAGGGACACCTGTAAATGTGGCCTATGGACCCAGGCTGCCTGGGCACATGCACCTCAGCCATGTTCTTGGCACAATGTCTGCCCTCTGCTCTCTCATCTCTGAAGAGGGATCCTGGGTACCCGCTTCAGAAGGTTGGGGATGGGGTGACTTAATCTGCATGTGGTGTAAGTGTCCCCCCCACGGCCAGCCCATGTCCTCCCTGCCCTGGTCATCAGGAGCCAGAGGTAAGGGCCGACCCTGGCGTCAGGCAGCAGTGTGTCCAGCTCTGTCCCTAACTACATTGTCACGGGCAAGTCTCTTTTCTGAGCCTTGGTTTCCTTATCTCTAACCTGCCTGCTTCTTAGGGCTGTTGAGTCTGAAACCATTCAGACCTATAGGCTTAGGTCAGTACCTAGTCCTGCGAAGGATGGAAATGCTGGGGTTGGGGTCATTGATGGGGATGATAGCTATCTCCACTGTGATAATGATTGTCTTCATTGTCCCGATGGGAACACAAAGGCTCAGGGGGGTTAATGCCTCACTGAAGTCCTACAGGTAGGAGGCAGGGCCCTGGGTGGGAGGCCAGTTACCTGCCCACCATCCCGTGTCCCCCAGGTGATGGAGGCCTTCGAGCAGGCCGAGCGGAAGCTGAAGCCCAGTCCCAGTCTGCTCTTCTCGGATGTGTATCAGGAGATGCCTGCCCAGCTCCGCAAGCAGCAGGAGTCCTTGGCCCGTCACCTCCAGACCTACGGCGAGCACTATCCCCTGGACCACTTTGAGAAGTGAGGCCTGCTCGCCCCACCCCACCCATCTCAGGTACCCCGAGAGGCAGTCCCAGGCTGAGGGGTGGAGGCAGCTGGCAGGACACCACCCTCTTCCCCAGCCAGCACCCTCCAAGGGGCCAGGGCAGGACTGAGATAGTAAGGGTGGGGCTTCTGCTCACCATCCCAGCTCCTCTAGGTATTACATTGTTGGGGGGCCTTCTCAGCCCCCACTTTGTGGTTGCAGTGCCTTCTCCCAGGAGCTAGGTGGGATGCCTCCAGGACTGGAAGCCCCTCTGGGCTAGGGGCAAGCACTTACTCAAAGTGAGGGGTGATCAGCAGGCAGTGAATAAACTGTCTACATTTGGTTCTCTGACACCTTTGGTCTCTGTTTCCTGGAGTTTTGAAGATGGGAGTCCTGCATGACTGGTTTGGGACCCTGCCCCTTCAGTTAGATCAGTGGTTCTCAACCTTTTTTTGTCCATGCCCCACCTAAGCATCTCTAAAATCCTGATACCCACCCCCCCATGACATATAATTCTTATTATTCAAAAAGTGAGCTCCTATTCACGTGGAGGAAGCCTAAAAGGCTATTAACTTGGTCTAAACAAGCTCCCAAAGAACATGGCATCCATAAAAGAGAAAAATAAAAGAATGAAAGGACAATTGAAGTACTGAGGAAGAAATCACTAAGAAATTGTTAAAAAAAATAATATGAAGTGATATGAAAAAATAGCAAAGTTTCAAAACGAGAACTGAAATGCATAAATATGTCACAGTATGTACTTATATACTGTATATGAGGCTCCTAGAATCATAAAGATGCAAAACATTTACTGTTAATAACTCATTCTCAAATTGCCCCCTTAAAAATCAAATTGCCCCCTGTGGGGCACGTGCCCTACGTTGGGAACCACTGAGTTAGATGGATAAGGCCAAGGCCGTTGAGGTATCTACTTCCCTGGAAACTTTCACAAGGTGGAGGGCCAGCTTCAGCAGACAGGGTGGGGTGGGGTGTTCCAGAGTTGGACTCCTGCTCTCCCATGGAGTGAGGCAAACTTGGTGTCCAGCAAGGTGACCAGGAGGCTGTTGGAGCTGGCCCTGTCCAGTAGGGGTGGGGAGGGTGTCTAGTGTAAAGGTCAGGGTGTGCAGGGTATGGGTGGCTGAGCTCTGCTCTTATAAAGTTCCCAGGGCCCCATAGGCACAAAGACAACTCTAAGCCTCAGAGTGGGGTGTTCGTATTTTTCAAAAACAAAAAGTAGACAAAAACAGTCCTCTGCCTCCTGCTGCCCGGTCCCATAGCCTGGGCCAGCCCAGGAGGGGCTCAAGCAGTCGTGATTCTAGGACCTCCTCACAGAGAGGCTGAGCAAGGGGCAGGCACTGAGGCCCTGGCCCAGGCCAGGCTGGCCCTCCCCTCCCAACCCCACTGAGGCTCAGCAATGGAGCTGAGGGTCCTGCAGGTGTTTCCAGAGCCAAAGGCTCTCCTGGGGTCTGATGGGTCGCACCAGCAGCAGGTCACGGAGAACGCAGGGGTCAGCCCTGCGGTCCGCTGGCCAGGCTGTGAGGAAGCCTATGTGGGCCCTGGGCGCTAGGCCAAGAGCACGGAAGCACAGGCCAATGTAGACATCGTTGAAGGGGAACGGTGCCACACGGGCTGCTGCCTGCAACAGCCAGGGTGCCAGGCGCCCAGCGATGATGTAGCCACCCCCGCTGGCATAGGCCGGGTAGTCACCTTCAAAGAAGGACATGGGCACGTAGAAAGGTCCTCCAGGCTTCCGGAGGGGCTTGGCCTGGGAAAAGACCTCACCCAGGTAGAGGCCTCGGGCCCAGCTGGGTGGCAGGGCCCGCAGGTAGTCCAGCAGGGCAGGAGTGTGCACAAAGGCATCATCCTGAGCTTGCAAGATGAAGCTCACACCAGCGCAGTGGTGGCTCAGCCAGGACAGTAGCAGCAGGTCCTTAAGTGTCTCATTGAAGGGAACGTCCAGGAAGTCCCAGAGCAGCAGATCACTGTAGCGGTGGCTCTCCCAGGCCACCAGAGGGCCTAGGTCAGGACCCCCCTCACCTACTGGGGACCCCAGCAGGAAGAGCAGGCGGATTCCAGGAGCGGGACCACCCCAGGTCTCCCTCACGGCCTGTCGTTCAGCAAATCGCCCTGGTTCCGACTTGACAGCCAGCAGCAGGTAGGGGATATTGGTTTCCGCACAGCTGGGCACTTGGCCACGGCCACCTCCAGGCAGCCACTGAGGGAAGCTCCGGCAGGCTGCTGACAGCAAGAAGCGGCGGAGGTCCTCAGGGTAGGAGGTGAAATCGGGGATTTCAGCAGCCGCGGCAGCCCCCCAAGCCCGGCAGTCTCCCTCCTCAGTGCTGTTTCCACTGGGCAGGGCCCCCAGCCGCCTCTGCTGCTGGTTCCAGTAAGCCAAGGGCAGTGGGCCAGTTTGGCCCAGACGGGCCGAGAGGTTAGCTGGCAGGGTGGGCTCAGGACTGGCTGGCGAGGGGCCTGGCAGGGTGCCCTGGGGTCCCAGATAGACCTTGCTCAGCCGAGACTCCGATGTCCACTCGATGTACACTTTGAGGCCCAGGAGCGTGAGCAGTGCTGACAGGCAGAGAAGGCACTTGGGGCAGCGCATGACCCAGCCCCGGGAAGGGATGGCCGCGGTGGGAGCTGCAAAGGAGCCACAGAGGCCTTTGGAGTGCAGGATGAGCCTTCATAGTTCCCACCAACCCAGTAATGGCCTTAGTCCCAGACCCTAAACCAGCCCCTATTCCTGAACCTGGAATCACTGCTCCAATCCCATTCCAACACCCACTCTTTCCCCTCTCAGCTCAATCCCTTCCACAGCTTGTTCCATTCCGGAATCAGGATCCCTGGGGTCAGCTCCTTCCAGCGTCACAGAAACCCAAACTCCCTCGCTCCAACTGCCCCCACCCCAGGGACTGGGGAGCCCTCTTTACCTCTGGGTCCAGCTCCGGCACCCCGGGCCTCTGGTCAGGCCCTCCCTTTTGCCCAGGTCCTGCAGGGGCTGAGTCTTCTTTCTTCGTGTGTCATTGTTCTTCAGCCCAGCCCAGCCCAGCCCAGCCCAACCAGAGGGGTGGGGCGGGAGGGGAGCAGGCAGCTGGGAGGGCCCCAAGGGCTGGGAGGGGCCGGGGCGGGGCTGAGGGAGGCAGGGGAGAGGGGGAGGGCAGGAGGCCGACCTGAGAGATGGGGCTCTGGCTTGTTGGGGCTGGTTTTTGGTGAAGCAGAGGGGATTGCTGCAGAGATTGGAGCACCTGGTGAGGCCTGGGACAGGAGAACCAGGGGCCTGGGAGAATCTGAGGGAGGGTGAGACTGAGAGCTAGGCCTGAACCTGGGCTGGGTGGTGTTGGAATGGCTCAGAGACAGGCACAGTCCCAAAGTTGCAAAACTGGAGGCGAGGGGCTAATGATTGGTGGAAGGAGGAGGTGGCAGAGAATGTGCTGAGAGGGAAAGGGTCAGCCTGCTAGAGAGGGGGGTGGCGTTCTGCCCAGAGTCCGGGTGGAATGGGGAAGGGGGCTGGTGAGGACAGACAGCTAGGGAGACCTCATGAGGAGGCAGGGAGAAGAGACAGGAGACAGAGACTCAAGAATGCAAAGAGGAGAGCACCGGAGAGAGAGAAAGAGAGAGGTGTGTGAGGATGAGAGAAATGGAGACAGTGAGCCAGAGATAAGGGGTGGCCAGGAAGCCCCTGAGGGGGGAGGGTAAAGGGGAAGATTTAGAGGCAGGTGGAGGGACTCAAATGGAATCAGAGGAGGGAGTCTGCAAACAGAGCCAGGCCCAGGGAGAGGCTGAGAAGGGAGCCGGGGAGGAGCAGGAGAGAACCAGATGGAAGGAGAAAGGGCAGCTGCAGGTGGAGACAAACTAGAGGGCATTAGAGGGTGGGGGGCACAGGAAGCCTTCAAGCTGAGCCAACCCTGCACCTTCATCCTCTTTGGAGCCTGGCTGCCTGACTAGCAGGGTGGGAACCTATTCCTACCCGGCCCCCACTCCAGTCCTGCCCATAGCTGCACAGGGACACAGAACACTCACATCCGGCCCCCAGGGACAGGAGGGGTTGTCTGCCTGTTTACACCGGATGCCCTCCCGAGGATTCTGCTGTTGGGGCTGCAGCAGCTGTCTGGGGAGGGTAGCAGGTGGGGCCTCCTCATCCCAGACCTCCTGGAACCTGGGTTAGGACTAAGCCTGGCCTGACCCCCTTCACTCCACTTGGGGTTTGGGAGGACTGTCTCAGGGACCCTGTCTGTTAGCCACAGCAGTGGATTATCTGTCCAGTGCTGATTTCCTCCCCCTAAGTTTGAATAATGGAGCCCATGGGACCAGCTGGAGGAAGGCAGTGTGGAGGAAGTGGGGAATATTAATGGAATAAAAGCTAGAGTGGGAAATGACAACCAGGGGCTGGGGTCAGGGGCCTCAGCACCCCTGGTGGGGGTCTAAAGCTCTCCCCCAGGGCTTGGAGAGAGGGGTCCAAGCCCCCTGAGCTCTCCTGGCTCAGCTAGCTATTCCCAGGGGGTGCAGAGGTTCTCCACAGGGGAGACACTATCCCTTCTGGGAGTGTTTTTGGAAATCTCGGAGGATACAATTTTTATTGCTTTGTGCATCAATCTGGGTCCAATCAGGAGGGAAAGCACAGCAATGGGAACAGGGAAAGTTGAGTGTCAAGAGGTGCCTTCTATGGAACAGAGCTGGGGGGAGGGGTGGGGGGTGTGTGGCGGAGGCCAGCAGGTAGAAGTGCAGGTCAACCATGATCAACCCAACATCCCTGCCTCCCTAAGCCTTTGGATCCCTTCTGACTTCTTTGCCTCATTAACTGTAGGCCAGTGTTGAATCCAAGTCCAAGTCACCCAACCAAGACAGCTGTTAGAACCACCCCCAGCTGCACAAGCTAACCCACTAAATTCAGAATCTCCAGTAAGTACCCTTGTACCAGTGACTTGCCCACCCTCACTGTTACACCCTTAGAATCCACTCCTGCATGGGTCCCCCAGGTTCTGACTGTACAAGTACTTTAGTGTGTAAGCTGTTGCTCCTGGGTCATAGTGAGCACCTGGCCCCTGGGGCTTGCTGAGATTTGGCCCCGGGTATTTATGGGTGTAGTGACAGCAGGTGCTTGTGATGACTCTTGAGAAGGGACACTCTCAAGGCTTCTTCCCCATTACATCCCGGGGGTTTCAAGCACAGGAAGACTGGTGGTCTCCTCAGATGCTGCGAAGGAGGCTCAGAGTGAGGTGGGGTTTCAAGATCGTGTTTCTTCTGGTCCAACCAGACAACCGCATTCGAAATTTCAAGATCTCACTGTTTACCAGTCAGCACCCTCACTTTCACATGAGGAGACTGGAATTCAACCATCATCAACCTGCAGACTTAAATGCTGTGTCGTATTCTCAGTACTGTCAGCCCTGTAGCTACGAGAACTAACTAGGGGGCTGTCACAGAAGTGCTCAGTCCTCAGAGTGGTTTGAGCTGAGGGGGCAGACCCGAGCTCGTCCTTGTCTGTCTGTAGGCACTCAAGGGCACTGCAGAGAGTCTGCCCAATGCCTATCTTTAGAATAGTCATCACTGCCACAGCAGTCAGGCGTTGCAGCCAGAGGGGCTCCTGAGGCTCGTGCTTCAGCTGCACCTCATCACAATAAACCCGTGACGGCCTGACTGACTGCGTGCCACGGACTTCAGTCCATCTCTGTGAGCCTATCTCCTGGAACACTCTGCATACCAGTGCTGTACCAGTTTGGAGCCAACCAGGAAAGGGGAAAAAACCCCAGTAATCTGAACAGGGAACGTTTAATATAATTATTGACTTCAACACCGAATTGAAGTGACGCAGGATTCACTGGTAAGGTGCCTTGGAATTTACTGGAAATCACCTCTGGGGTGTGGTGGAGTCATTCCCAGGAGGTAGCCCAGTGAAAGTATGCCTCTAGGAAACTGCCAGGTGGGGCAGGGTGGGGTTTCAGGGGAGGCTGCTTACCCCCCCCCCCCCCCCCCCCCCCCCCCCCCAATGGAGAAGCCACCAGAGAGCTAGCGAGGCAGGAGCCTGCACACCTGAACAGGAACCAGGAAGCAATAGCCTTGCTTCCTGCAAAGTCTCTCGAGCGCCTCCTACTGACAAGGCTTACGCCAGTTAACAAAGGCAAAATATTTCAAAGTCCCAGATCAGTTTTCACAGTGCAGATAAAAAGTTGAATCTGCAGCTAAGACAATCAATAAGCCGGAACACCATAGGACTTGGGATGCTATTGGTATTTAGTGAGCGTGGGCAAGGGATGCTGTACCCTGTGGTGAGCTGACTAGTCCCACATGGAACAACCATCCCTTTGGAATGCCAGGAGCACCCCCTATATCAGTAGGGAAACAGCACACCTAAATGAGGTTAATTTGAGAAGTCTCCACACAATAGTGGGCAAAGAGGAGGCCACAAGAGAGAATGCAGCTCCCTGGGGTTACTTGCAGCCGAGAGTCCTTACCTGCCCCAGGCCTGGCCAGGCAGGAAGTTACTAGAACTAGAAGTGTGTGGGAAGGGCTGCCTGACAGGATGACAGGAGCTGTGATCTTCAGTCCAGAGTGTAGCCAGTCCATGAGGTGGGGACCACATGCTCTCCTTCCCCTGACCTGCCAGTGCCACATCCCTCGTCCCACCCCAACCCCCACAATGAGTGCACCCAACTGGAAGCCAGAAGTAGAACTGTCAGAGACTCAACACAGCCCGGCTGAGATCCACCTGGATGGGGAGGGGGCTGTGACTAGGCAGGGATGGGGCTGGCTGTGTCCCGAGACTGCTGTTCCGGCCCCAACTTCAGGCCCCGGGCCCACTCAGCCCCCAGAACCTCACACCTGGGCAGCATCTCCTCCACCAAGATCTGAGTGAGGCCTGGGTTGGACACAGCAGGGAGGTCTGAGATGTCCAGCCTGCGGAGGTTCCTGAGGAAGCAAGAAGGGGAAAGGCCCGCATAAGGACAGCATCTGTGAGAGAGTGTATGGAGGGGGTGCAATGGCCCCCATTCAACCCCTAGCTTCTTAAAATAAACATCTTTAACTGTCTAGAGAATGCCCAAATCCACAAATCCACTGTGTTAATTACAAATAGACACCTCTGGCTCCTATGGTTCTACAACAGTGTAAATGTCATGGAGTTTTCATTAAAACCAAAAGAAAAACTAGGGAATCCTTTAATTCCCCCCAGAGACTCACTGCCACTGCTCATCTGTGCTTACCCACCACAGACACTAGGTTTGTCATGGAGGCAGGGAGACAGGGAACTGCCTGACACTGCTCCCTCCCCACTTTCCCATATGTGAGCTGGGTGGGAGCCCCTGTCCTGGCTCGGGGGAGGGGGGGCGTTGGGGGGGGTCGGCTGAGCTGAGGTCTTACTGGAGGTGGTGGAGGCAGGCGAGGCCCCTTTCGGAGATTCGGGGGCAACCAGCCAGCGAGAGCTCCTGCAATGAACTGGCCAGCTGATGGAGGCGGCTGAGACACCAGTCATCCACATGGGGACAGCGCTGCAGCAACAGGGATTGCAGCTCCTTCAGGGCCACTGCAGGAGGGAGAGGGCAGAAGGCACTGAGAACCCCTCTGGAGCCCACCACCAAAGGGAAAATGCAGAGCCCCGCCCATCTCTACCCCACCCACCCCACTCACAGAGGTTGTCCAGGCCTTCGTAGTTGATGGCACAGTCACTGGCATCCACCGCCTCTATAGGTACCGCCTGGAAACTCAACAACTGGAGAGGGGAGTAGCCATGCTCAGTGGACCGAATCCACTCTTTGCCCTGGAATCTGGAAAGGAGGTTCCAGGTGGGTACCCCACTTATCCCCAAGCCTCCAGCCTCCTGAGACCACTACCCAGCCCGTATAATACAATGATGGTACTGTGTCTGCTCTTGTTCTAAGGGGTATACACGTCTGGTCTCATTGGATCCCATGATGATCCTATCAAATATGGAATGTTTGGCCAGTTTTATGTACCTAGAAGCTGAGGGCTGGAGACATTACTGATAACATAAAAGAGCTACAATGTAAGAACCTTTCTAGATGGGCAAAAGTTGAGACATTTTCAGATACGTAAACCATTTCTAAGG